GGGATATACTGAAAGGTCGGGTATGGAGCGCCATCGCCACTGAGCACAACACTTAACAACACATATCGGTAAACCATGAGACTTTTAGTGGGCAAATCCACGAAGCCAGATAACGCAACAATGGCCCTATGTTATCAGCAAGGAGCATAGAGCAGCGACAACGCCACGAATTTATTAGTTGCTCAAACGACAAGTCGATCCCACGCAAAAGGTCCCGCAGGGTCTCCTCGAGACTAGCGCCACAATTCGGAGGCAACTTGGGTCTTCTTGCGGCCTGAATGCTGTTGGAGGGTCAAGTGGCATCAAGGACGAATGGAAACGCTCCAAACATGGGCTTTGGTTCGCCGAAACATCACTGATGATGGTCGGATGGCACGGTAACCTTCATGGGGGCCATCGAAAGGTGATGCCCAAGACGGACTAGCTTACCGACGGCGGGACCCGGTCTCCACCAACGGGAACCAGTAGTCAAAAGCTGGTCCTTGTTGACCGCCCGTATTAGTCCATTATTCCGCGCAATGTCGCTTCACATCGGCTTCATCATCCCACCTATCCAAAGAGCCCAAGTGGGCTTCAGGAATTCTCATTTCATTGCCCAGTCACGAGGCAGCCGCACATCACTTGATGCATATACGTACCTATCAACATGTTTTGTTCGCCTGTTTTGTTCGCCTTGTTTGATTACGTTGCAGCTCCTCGAGTAATGAAAGTTCCGAATGCGGCAATGTGGCTCCAGTGTTAAACACCAGTTCGGATGTATGACACCAGCCAAGGCAACCCACCACACAAAGCAATTGTGCATATCTTCTTCATCGGCCCAGGCGCTTTTGAAGGAGTGCGCCACCGTGCTGAGCCTGACGTGAAATGGTTGCAGGTAATGGGAGACGGACGGACATTCGACAGATCAGCCATTCTCACCAAAGCTGACGAATACCTACGACCAAAGGGCATGCATAACCAATTTTCATTTACGCCAAACATTTAACATCTTGAATGAACTATCGTCGTGATACGGAACTTGCAAGTCTTCAGCTTGATCGCAACAATATCCTCTGAACAGTAGCAACGTCTCCTCCCCCGCGACATGTCCCAGAATCGGTTTCCAAAGTAAGTCATGTAGGAGATTCCTCCACGATATCCATCTTCCCCAGACAGTACCAAACTAGGTTACCGCCAGATTTCGTAAAAGTTACGTGGCAAATGCTGGGGAAGCGGGTTTGCTCGGCTCTCGATGGCTTTACGTTTTCATCTAGTACTAACTAGTTTTCAATGATGCATTGGGAACAGTGCGACCCCGTTGTCCCGCGCATACTATACCATATCATGACATTTACACTTTACTCACGGAACGGTCTCATACCAACTTAAGCGATGTGGTTCATGGGGAGTCCCGTTGCCAAGGGAAAGTGGTGCCGTCTGAACGCCGGCCCTATTAAGAAACTTCGCGGTGGTCTGTCGTCATTTGTATCGCGATACATGCCGCTCAGCCAGAGCCTATGCTGGTACAGCGTCACAGCGACAATGTTCTGCTTTGTTGCATTAGACTTAACAGAGTAAAGATCGAGTCTGCGCGGGTCTGGGGTGACGAAACACCGGGACGATTCTTAGCGTAGTATTGATTGCTTTGGTATGTACATTTTGGACTAGGTTAGTAGCCTACAATAGTGCATAGACTGCACCTAAACATTGGATCTTCTTGTGCTTACTTAATTTGCCGTGAAGGAACTTGGCACGAACATGTCGGTACTCTAGGGAGATGGTCTGGCTGCAACATGAACCTCTAGGTAGCCAAAACACAGCCTTGAAGAATAGGAAGATATATGCCATTTACAACTTTGTACAGCGCGTTGTTAAAATAAGCGTCGCGTCTCCGTACTCATCCAGGACCACCTGTGAGGTGCAAAGTCCAGGATACTCCCAGCCGCAGGTTTTGGTGTTGCAATAGCCCTCTAAACTTAACAGCCTGTAGAGATGGTACTCATTTTTAATAGCTTTCTAATTTTGTAATTGTTCGCCGTCTTTGTCAAGTATTAGACGTCGCCGCCAGGTGAACAAGACCGATGGATGGAATTCCTGACAGATGATGTTATTGTAGGGTAAGCTAGGCTTCGCCCCCGACTTGGCGCAGATTTTCTTCTCTCGCCCGGAGGAATGAATGGGAAATTTTTAATTTCTGTTCAGAAACGAGAAAGTCTAATTGCGCCATCCTAAATCTTGTATAATCAAATATATAATTACGGCTCAATATATATTGTGGCTAACTGGTAGAAACGAAAGCCTTTTCACTCAAAATGTTCTATCCGATGGACACTTGCATGAGACATCACTGGGTTATGTCAAAAAAAAAAAAAAAAGGGGGAGAGAATAACAGAACAGATATGAATCATAAAATTGGAGTGGCTCGGTTATAAGGAGCGATATCGGGGACTGCCAGACAATTGATTCCCAGGTTGCAAAATGGGATGCAACAGCTAGTGCGTGCCAATGGATTGATCGAGATTGTTCTCGAGCCGCAACTATATTAAAACTGTATTCACCAGAGGCATAATGATTGATTAGCATGTGAGATATACACTCTGTAGACTGAACGTCTTTGCCTTGGTATGCATTCGACTCTCTTTGCGCCGTTTGGTGGATTTCAACGCCAGCCGTCTTGCGCTGAATCACGGCCACAGGCTCATCAGTCGTGATTGCATATCGACGCAGCCTTCACGTAAACATGGGAATTATCGTGGTTATTGCCGAAATGGTTCGATTTTATAGACGTATTGATCCTTTAAACTGCAGTAAATAGATGAATCATCCAATGCTCATAATATCCCCTGTCGCTATCTGACTACATTATATTGCACCTCCACCTCAAGCGACTGAGCTGTTTCCCTTGCAACGAAACTCAACGTAGTCAATGCAAGTTCCAAGTATACATTGTACTCCAAGTCCTCTACCATTGTGTCCAGATTGCTTAGAGGAATCCATATTCAGGATGTACTCTCCAATACGTGGTGGATGGCTGCTGATTGGTCTTCAGCCCGATGACTGGCATCTCTTCGTGGCCGTCAAGTATTGTGCTCAAGTATATGCACTGTATACTATACTCGGAGAATCCAGGGAAAACGTGGCAATATGCTAATGACATATACATTTCCCCTTCTGTCGTGCTACAGCAACCCACGCCACGTTTTTGACAAACCTGGGTTGTGTCGTGTGCCCTGTCTTGGAGAACTGCCCTGGAAATGAGATTGGAAGCTCTAAAGTTGGGGGCGGATTATGTATTGGTTTATTGGTTTATTGGTCTACTAGTATGCTGTGCCATCCTTGGCCGTGCTTGCACCCTTGATCTTTGCCAATCAGACTGCACAGATTAGCACTCGCGTTGCAAGCTGTCGTTGCTGCCAACAAGAGGGATTTCTCAATGTCTTTCGATTTCACCGCTTCTTCTTCTCTACGGTAGTACCATCATGTGGTGTGACCGAACTGCAAACACCCGGGTAGATTCTAGAAACAAAGTTTCTGCGTCTCTATCGTCTGTTACGAACATGGCAGTCTTCACAAGCGTTGCCTTCACTATATTTCTGGGAGCTAGGAGCACGTCCTTTAACGTGACTGCTTCCAGATATCGTCAGCTATTAGCCAATCCTGCCACTGCGCCGGTACATCATAGCCAAGAGGCCCAATAAGACTAGGTTAGCAGTCGGGCGGCCAATGGCTTAGCTCTTTTACAAGATATGGAAAGTATGCAAGGTCCGTGCTGCTTCATTAGGGGTAAACAGCGGTGCAGACTCCTGCATGGCTTATTGAGGCTCATGCTGTCACGAATTTTGCCCGAGCGTAACTTGATCACACACAGTGAGGCCGTCATGGCAACTCGGCAGGCATACATGCGCTCATCTGAGATCTGAGCAATATCATAGGCGGAGGGACTCATTCCCGAGAGGGTCTGACAACGCAATAAGATACCGGTCTTTCTGACGTCCTGCTGTCAGCAGATAGCTCCAACTGTGAGATGAACAGTCAGCAGAATGGGGAAAGGAAACGGAACATTTCCACCACACCCCCACGAGAAGGGGGTGCCTTTTCTGTAGAGGCGTTTCTACCCAAGTTGTTTCTTGACAACGGACATTGTCGAATAGCCCGCACGCTGCAATAGTGGCGAGGAAAGTTTTTCGGACCTGAGCCTGACATTCTTTCAGGCTAAAGGGTCAACTTAATGAGAGAATTGTAGGGATCCTGATGTACTGTCCACCGCTCAACCTTCAGCCCGCCTTATTACAACCTGCGGCTGAAAAGCAGGAGTCTTCAGACCGAGTTTGGTGCGACGTCGCTTGTTGCAGTGACTGTACACAAAGAGAACACATGGCATATGCACTCCGTATGGTGGGTTGACGCTGATTACTGACCAGAACTAAGACTGTGAAGTGATTGGGAAATCGATAGAACGTTTCGTGACTTAATACTTGCCATATCAAACCATAAACGCTGACATGGGAGGCGACTATGGGAGAGGGCGAAGGATGACAGCCCGTGTTGGCGACACCCGGGAGGTGTGGCGAACCCTCGAATAAAAAAACAGCCTTGAAAAATGGCATCGCCTGTTGGACCAGGCCACAGGGTAGTATTTATGTCACCACACGTCTGCAGGCGGGCTTTCGCGGGGCGTAGAGGATTTGTTGCAGCCGAAAAGTCAAGCCGGAATGATGGAAGTCGTACCGATCTTGTCCTTGCGTAAATGTTGAAGCCAGTGAATAGATGGCTGGCCAAGGGCCTAGACATTGGCCAGGTCTGATTAGCCTCAGCTTACCAGCGCAACGTGAAAGGCCTGGAGGCGCTTCTGCATGTGTAGTACCAAACCATTGACTACCTGGGGGGCAGGTACTTGCGCAACCTTGTTTTATTGAACCATGTAGCTAGGAGGGATATATAAAGTCTCACCTACTGTGTAGGATGGGTTATGTTTGGCATCTGGGATGGTGTCGGTGTTGAAGAGTCGTAGACTTCCGACAATGGCTGAACGGCGCAGCCAACAGAAGGATAGAGCTGTTCCACAACTCAGTTGTGCTCTGTGCCGAGATCGCAAGCTCAAGTGTGACAAACTCGACCCTTGCACCAATTGCACGTCGTCCGGAGTTGTCTGCGTCCCAGTATATCGTCCACGACTGCCTCGAGGTCGACACGCTCGTCGCGCGAGGAACAATGCCTCTCCAACCGCCGCCACAGGTCCGCCGATCACACCTCGATGTCGCCACACATCAACAGGCGAAGACGGAACTAAAGAATTGTTTGCTCCCGGCAAAGGCAGCGACCGGGGCGACGGTGGCGTCCTTGGTTTTCGAATTGATCGACTGGAAAACTTAGTACAACGCGGAAATTGTTGCAACTCCAACGTTGACTTGGAGAACGATGGCCTACGAAAGCTTGTAAGTATTGGACGGAGTGCTGGGTGCTCATTCGATGAGTTGTCCGGCCGGTTTACCTCCCTCTGTCAATGCGGGCCGAATCACACCCTGCCCCAGTGCTGCCAGGTGCGAACCTTGGCCAGGATTGCAGGCTATCTCTCCCAAACGCAAATAAAGAGTGAACGTGGCAGAAAGCATGGCTATTTGACAATGAGAGAAATGGCGATGTTGCTAACAGTCGGGACAATTTAGGATCTTTCTGATCGCATTCGAAGGCTCGAGAGTCTGGTTCAAAAAATCAGCTCAGAGTCGGGCAACCAGGCAGGAGCGAGCCAGCCATGTCAAGAAGCCCACGAACATGGCGGGCGCAGGGCTTTGGCAGAGTCATCCACGGCAAGTCTGCATTCTGACTGCACAGACAGATGACTCCATCAACTTGACGGAATATTTCGAAGCGCAATGGAGTAAGCTGACCACTACGGTGACTTATAGTTGCTACGACGCTCAATTGAGGACTCCGACGATGCCCAGCTTGCTGCCACAAGTCTCCCGAGCCCAACATCGTGGAAACCCGAGCTTTCAGTCGGTAGTGACCACGATGATGGTTTGTGTGTGCAAGAAGCCAGCGGTCTCTGGGCCAATTTCATCCACAGGGTATGTTTTTGGGTAAGGAAATATGGTGTTCGCCTGGAGATCAGGAGGGCTGATAAACTACCTCGTCGGTGACCATAGGATCGGGGGATAGAACGTGCCGAGTTGCCGCTATTCGACGAAGGGACTAACCAAGAGATCGAAATGGACGAGAAAAGACAGGACGAGCATGCCAAAAAGGCCATGTTTTGCTTGAGCCTGTTGGGACTGAATAACCCGCGCATCACCAGCGCAACAATGTTCGCTCGCGATAAAGAAGCTATTGGAAACATGTGTCGTGTCTATCTCCAAAACGTGGACCCCATCATCAAGGTGCTTCACAGACCATCTCTCAGTCGATGGATGCTGGAAGGAGATAGGTACCTCGGCTATCCAGAAGAACATACTTCTGTCATGGCATTGGAATCTGCCGTATGTTATGCAGCCGCCAATACTTTGACAGACAGTCAATGCAAGGCTATGTTTCGCATGAGCAAAGCTAGCATAGTGTCGATGCACCGCAAGTTCTGTGAAAACGCAATTGAACGGGCCGGCTTATTAACGACGCGGGATAGAATCGTTCTTCAGGCTTTTGTCCTATATCTTGTAAGTTTATGAGAAGGCCAGGTCGACTTGTTGTTACAAGCTTTGAGGGGCCGCTGACAAAAGTCATGCTTACAGATAGGTCGAAGATCAGAAGAAAAGGGCGCAGCTGTCTGGACCCTGGTGGCACTGGCCGTGAGACTCACAATGGCCATGGGTCTAAACCGAGAACCCAACGAATTGGCCCAATCCACCGAAAGCTTCTTTCATCGGCAAATGAGGCTTCGGTTGTGGCTCACCATCTGCCTCCTTGATTTACAAGCCTCCTTTGCACAATCCACAAAGCCTTTGATCAGTCATGTGGATGCTGAAGCTGCCATGTCCGAAGTCCGACATATAAACGATGACGACTTTGAGCCTTACACCATGAACGAAGTGACCGACCGAGAAGAACTCACCGATACAACCTTTGCTCTTGTAACATATCGGGCACAGGTCGCGGGGCGCTTGCTGAATTTCGCGGGATCGGAACCAGGTATTGGTACTACCAGTAGTTGTTCCACTTTCTGCTCAGCTGCTTTCCCTAGCCAGGAACAGAGAAGGCATTACGTCAGTCAGTTTCAGCAACAATCTCTGGCTCTTGTTCATTTTTGCGATCCAGAAAGCTCTCCCTATGCTTGGTTCACCTGGCACAGCACACAGTGTCTTGTGTCTGCGATGCGACTTTCGGAGCTGCTACCCTTCCAGTATACTTCAAGCAGCCAGAGCTTAACAACGCCGCCGTCGCCGCAGCCGCGGGCTGATACAGATTTGCTTAGAAGAACTCTCCAAAACCTCGAAAAAACCCAGCTCATTTACACGGACCCTCGCGGGGAGGGATTCCGCTGGTATATCACAATTCCATGGCTGGCACTTTCCACCGCCATAACTGAATGTACTTCATGTGTCGATACGGCGCTGGTGCGTAAAGCCTGGCCAGTAATAGAGGCGTCGTACCTGCAATATGAATCGTTCTTTATAGAGAACAACAGTGAGACCTCCCGCCCGCCGCTGGCACTCATGATGGATCAGACCCGAGAGAAGCTGTCGCCAATATTGCAAGGAACAAACCTTTCTCGCTACATGACATGCGGCAATAGAGCTAGGGATGCAGCTGCTAAGTCGCTGACCCAAGTTAGGTCCAGAAAAATCAGCCAAAGCTCCTCTGCAACACCTATTGACCCAGTGTTAAATGCAGACGAGGTGTTGATGAATGGCTCCACCTTCGGCTCCGAAGCTTCGCATACCATGTCAACCCAGTTCTTCTCGCAGAATAACTGGGATCCTACCTCAGTCTCTTTGGAATACACTTCTGGAATGGACGGGTGCATGGCGACTCCAAACTTGTACCATACAATTTCTTCTTCGGAGGTTTTCGAGCCTTCCTGGCTGAATGGCGATGTCATGGGCGTGTATTCGAATATAGACGAAGAAGATGATGCATCGATGCCTACTAATGAAGGGGAAAATAGAGACGTGCTCTAAATATAGAACTGTGAAAGACTGCAAGAGTCGGATGGGCTGGCGACATATGGTTGATTGTGAATGCGGATATTCTGAGATATTCTGAGTGTTAGCCTGTATTGTTAACGAAGTCACTATACCATTTTATATGCTTTATTTGCACCTTTTTAGTACATGAGACTGATGGAAACACCGTGGCATCCTGGGATTCATTGTACTCGTGAAACTTGCAGTTATGAGATAGCATTATGCAGCAAGTCTCGCTGATGCTGGCTACATATTCGTCGCGCATCTGAGGTTCATACATACTCCCACAAGGATAAGCGGCACTGCGAATAAAAAGAATTTCACATTAAAAGTATGAAGCCTGAGCTGAGCTATTGTGTGATGCTTTCGGCCACCCACTACTGATACCACTTCACGTCGAACCGTAAGAACTGTGCTCTCATTGGCAGTATGCTAAATTCTGTTGCACCGGGAAAACGAGCATGTCACCTTCCCACCAAGCTCAGACATATTGGGGTAATATTGTTGCTGTTGTGCGAGCTTCTCATCGCGGCCGATGGGAAAACGGCAACTGTCGGGACCGAAACGGTTGGCTTCGGTTGGAAACCTGTGTCCCAGCCGGGCCGGGCCCGAAGGTAGCAGAGTTGCTCGAAGCTTGGCTACTGGAGGAGCTGTCTAGACGCCGGATCAATACATGGAAGGAGATGATCCCATGACCAAAAGATGAGTGAGGAGAGAATTACCCGGTGGCGTATTATAGTCGCTGTTATGCTTCATACTAACATGTACCATAGTAAAATTAATGTGTAACCCTTGATAGGGGAATGTCTTTCGCCACGTGTACTAGATTTCCGTCTCACAATGCTCTTTCTGACAATGGGGTCGCGTGAAAGCGACGCCTGGCTTTGCTGCTGTTCTTACAATAGCCATGCAATGAAGCTCCAGGCAGCCATGACTTCGAGTACGGATGAACGGTTTCAGCTCGTGCTTCTGCCATCATGGTCCCCCCCGCAAACCAAGTTCACCACAGACAGGTCCATGCCTTTGCGACTGCAACAATTCGACGATTCCAGTATCTTCGAGTGGCTCCTTTGCTCTAGCGCAATCCCAAGTCCAGCAAGAAAAACGAGCCGCTGTGCCAAGCAACCCCTGGGGAGCCGAACTTCCGGATACCGCAGCAGCAGGTTATTTGCATCTACGGATTTTGACTCGATTTTTACTGTCCGTCAGCCGAGGCCCCTGTCCCAGACTGCGTGGCGGTGAATGTCAGCAGGGCGGCCCAAACATCCGATCCAATCTGCCAGATTCGGCAACCGCATAGATTATCTTGGCGATGAGACTAGCACGCCGATGGAAGCTGAAGGCAACAGGGGTCAAGTTCAGCTCCGATCGATTCGTGTTCCCACCAACATGCCACGGTTCCCAGTGGCGGTCATCCTGGATCCCTGAGTGGACGTCGGATGATAACAAGTCCTCAGCCTTTTGCGCCGACTTGCCAGCAGGGTCAGCAATGCATATAAAATTGAGAGGCGGCGAGCTGTGTTGCGTTTTCGGAGTGACGCCGACAAACGCAGGTCTGTGAAAGTAGCCTTATGCCAAGCTGACACTTTACTTGAGCGGATCCCCCGGGCATCTAGACCAGGGGACAACATGTTGAAGGGTCAGACGACGTGGCGTCGAAGTTGCATCTTGTCGGCCACGATGTGACAATGACTCGTGACATACTTGCAAGTGTACCAAAAGAGGTAGAGTCATACAGGACCATTCCCTCCATCTGCGTTTCAACCAAGCAATCTTTCATATGGCGAATCTTTCCACAGACTAGTATAGCGAATGTGATTCATGCCTCCTCGAAGGACTTTTTAATTTTCTTCGGCAATCTATATGGCGTGCTCCCACTCCATGTCGACTTCGTCCACTGTAACTACTGATAATAAGACGACGGGGTGGCATACCAATCGAGTATGGACATTGCGATCTTGACGACCAAGCCAAATTGGGTAGAAGCATCGCGAACCTCGCAATTAATGTCAACGCCGGCGGGAGGCAAAAAGTATTCGACAAAACCAAGTACCTAGCTCTCACGCTCTGCACTACAACATACTATAGTATATTGGCGTAAAGTTTTCAGTCGGTAAATATATTCTGCCACCGCCTGTCGCCTATCTGAGGGAGGAGGCAATCGTTCGCCGGCCCTGGGCGCAATAGATACTGCAATAATGTTGGAATGAGAATATTGCTAAAGCGAAATGGTTAGATGTCATGTTTTTAGCCGAGTCAACGCTCTTATTTTCGTAAAAAGTTCTTCGGCGCGTTTGCGTGTGCATCAAGGCTTGGCGCAATGTGGGCTACAGTGCTCATGCATACAGTTCTCAATAGACGTACTCTGAGAAAACTCATTCTTCGGCGTCGCTTTCATCCTTGGTCATTTCGGCCTATCGATTGTTTGTAAGTAGTGTCATAAATGCTACGTAAATAGGCGTGATTAACATACCTCGATGATCTTTTCAAAATACTAGGTTATTAACGATAAGTATATGGCAAGCTTTATAAATATAATAAATAAAAATAACTTACTTCTCTGGTATTTTTCTATTATTCGTGTCAGGAGATGATAGCGAGAGCTAGATACTTTTATTGTAAAATGACTAGGACTAACCTTCGGCTTCGGCGGCTTGTCCGCCTCCGCCTTCTCCTCAGTCTAAACAGGTTAATAATAGGGCTATAATATTCTCAGAGTACGGATACTATACATTTGTACGCTGCAAGATTTGTCAGTATAGGTAGACTAGTGTAAGTAAAAAAGTCCGATTTCACACTAACCTGGCGTTTTTGGCCAGCCGACTGCCCAAGCGCATGTGTCAGTAATTGATGAGAACACCGGCTAGAAACAAATAAACACACCGGTTGACGAGTCTATGAAGGCATCTATTTAGTATAATTACACACGGTATTGGTATATACGTGTGTATGCCCTGTTTATTATAAAGCAAAGATAGGGTTCTTTATGGGGGAAGAATATTCTGGTATAAGATCTAGAAACAGGGGACTTACCGCGGGGCCCGGGGGGGGGGGGCCAATTGGCGTCAGGTTCTTTATCAGTAGTCGTCAGATAAATCTAATACGTATATATCTCTTATATTTATCTCTTACTCTTGACTGCTTTACGAATTGTATTGTCAGCTTCGTGATCAGACGAGACGGGCAATCGCGGGTAGATGCTGGTAACACGCACCGAGAAAACACGAGTCTATATAAAAAAGATTATTAGTAAGTTAACTAATAAAGTAAATAATAGATATAACTTACTTGCCGGCATTGCTGTTACACGGAAAAGGCCCAACAGATCGTGACGCCCAACAAAGGGGCTTCACCGATACGGGACTTATTAGTTACACAGCTTGAACGTGCCCGGGCAAGAGCCCTAGGCCCAGGCGTTCCTTTTATGTATATAAGGCGGTTACCCCTCTCTTCCTCTCTTGTAGCAACTCAAGACCTTAGAGACCCTTCGAGATTATTATTGAATTGAGCCCCTTTGCTCCAAGCCTTCTATGTTGAACCCTTGTCACAATTGCCGAGCAATATGGCCTTCCTGGCCGCACGCATAACACTATATTTATTAGGATGTAATTGTTGACCAAAAGCGTAATATAACTAACAGTGAGGGGCTGTTCATATAGTTAGACTTTGTTGATATATTAGCACGTAAGAGCTCAAAGCAAATAACATACCATCTTGTTTTAATCGAGAGCTTCAAGGCCATTGCATATTAGCATCTATTTTGCGTAGTTTGCACAGGTCGGAGAAGCTTGGGCACGTACAAAACATTGAAATGTTATCGGTACCAAGTACGCTTGCTAGGAATCGAAGTCTGCTTCGAAGCCAGAGTCTTCGTATACGTTTTCACAGGAGTTCCGGACTGAGGCCAAGCCTCTGCACTCAGTAAACAAGTCGGGGGCGCTTTCGGCATGTAAATAACAATGTTCCCTGAAACCCAAGAGGTTAGCCACCCAAATGCGCACGATTCGGAACAGAAAAAGGAGCACTCAACGTATTTCATATTCCATAGCCATTCGGAAACGAGATCCGATGATGAGTTGAGGGTTCACCTCCACGGACGGCCATGCGATTCTGAGCCCGAATTGACACCTGAAACCGCAGTACTCATAGTTGCTTCGCTAACACGACCGAAAAATGTCAGGAATTCCGCAGAGGAGGTTACAGGGGCACACATGTGTTCAACTCTAAGTGTTTTGCAGCCAAAAAGGGCCAAGTTGTTACGCTACAGAACAGAGGGGGCAAAGTGCAATGATGAGAGGCGAAGGAAGAGGAGGACTTCAGAATCGAACACAATGTTTGGTAGAGGCCCGTAACAAGTAGAGGTAAGGCAGGTGCGTTTAAGAGAAAGGATGACTGAGGTGTCAACTGGTCTATCTGCCCCCCCCCGCAGCCCTGAATAAACAAACAAACAAACAAACAAATTAAATTGTGAGAAATAATGACGCCTGGTTCGAATCCACTGAAAAAAAAAACATTCGACCACCTCGCCTTGATAAAAGTCTAATTCCAGTATCAATTCAGCATCCATTGCGCCCAAGGCCGGCTTTAGACCCTCCCCGACAGACCACAGTCGGAGGCAAAGAGTCAAATTTTACCGACTATCAAGCTCTATACTACAATGTACCACAGTATATTATTGTATAGTTCTTGATAGGCAAATATATTCTGCCACAGAATGCAAGTTTAAGTTGCGTCGACGTCTCCCCCTCGAGCGGTGCTCTGCTAAGATCGATACAGAACCTTTACGGTAGGCACAAACAACCAGGAATTCCACCGTACGCTCCCCTAGATGTGGGACGCCGTTGAGAGTGTCAGAGTCATATCTGGTACTCAAATGTCGCCATGGATAATACAACGATTTCTTTCCGTGAGCACATCTGCACTCACTGCGTCCGGTCCGCTGTGAGTGCTGGCACTGGGGAGTAGCTCAAAAATCCGACCCCCAAGGAGCCCGC